AGATTCAAAAGGCTAAGGAAAGGCAGGCGGAGAAAGGAGCCAAACATTGATAGCGTTTGAATGAATTGTAAGAAATGGTTGAGCGAGATTTTGTCGTTAGGTTTTGTTGATTGATGAATTTGGATCTGAGATTGGGATGCTTTTACTGTTAAGTGCTGCTCGGTTACTCGGTTAATTTCGTTTCAATGATAACTAATTCCCTGTTTCTTCCTTTGTGATAAACTTGTTCGTTTATCTTTATCTTTACTGGCAAATGGCAATGCTTCAGTTTGTTTTTCAGTGCAAATTTTATGCCGTTCTAAAATACTCGTGGATGATGACGATGATATTGTAAACTACTTTAATTTACCGGGCGATGTCTACATGCTTCAAGAAAAAGACTAACTTAGCTACTTATGGAGAACATCATATGTCGAACACCATATGTTATTTCTCATGCATAGGAATGAGAGGGAAAAATAAAATTGAGGGTCATTTCTCATGCATAGGAATGAGAGGGAAAAATAAAATTGAGGATAGGAATTAGCGGGAAAAAATAAGGGGAAATTTTTGTTTTTTTTTAATTTATTTTCAGTTTTTTAATCATTTTTAAGACTAAAATGACTTAATTACCCTCACATGTTGTGCATGTGGTCTCACTTAACAGAAATATGGATGAAATATATGAAAAACTACTGGTAGGGGCAAATCGGCTAAAAAAATTAGTTTGAGTCCTTAATTTTCCAATAGAAAAGTTCAGAGGAGAAATCAAAAGCTAAGTAAAAGTTGAAGAGGTAAATCGACAGTTTACTCTTTATTTTTTAAATAATCAAGTATGTTAATAAATAAGATCAACACCAAGAAAAATGAGTAGAAGCACGAGAGTCATTATATTTAAAAAAGATAAAAAATCCCCAATCCAAGGAATGACTTCAGGAGGTAACCAACAAGACAGTATTAATCTTAGTTATTTTATGTCATAAATATTGAAGGAATGTTGCTTTCAAAGAAATTTATCTTAATTGATTATCCTAAAACATAAATATTATAACATAAGGCCTATATGTGATTGATGAGTAATTTGGACAAGCACTTATGTCTGGAACTTACATTACAACTTAACTACTGATAATATTATTTTCTATCTCAGTTTTTTATTTTTTTTTTAAACATTGGATATTTACAAAAAGACTTTTACCGGGGATCAAGCATGTATCGTCTATGTGTGCAACTTGGACGGGTTTGATGGTCAACCCATTCCTTACCAAACATTTCTACTTCGGGTATGGGTTCGGTTCGGTTTCATGTTGGTTTATTCTGGTTCGGGTTTAAATTGGGTTTGGACTTACTCGGGTTGGGTTAGGTTTTGCTCAACTTTATTGATTTAAATATTACATTGTTTTATAAGATAAATTTCAAATTTTGAACCAAATAATGTCAAAAATATTTAAATTCAAATTTACACAGACAATATCAATTTTTAACCAAAATAAACATAAAATCAACACAATCATTCATTGTTCAAATGAAAACCAAACAACAAACTTTAAGTATAGACCTCCTAAACTTGTATATCTAGCTTATATAATATGAAATGGGACAGGTAATATGTACATGAGTAATTCGGGCTAGAAATTGGGCTGGGTTTAGGTTGACACCAATCCAACCAAACCCAATAAAAAATTGGGTTAAGGTCGGGTTGGGTTTGGACGTATTTTTACTTCATTCTAACCCGCTCGATTGGGTTTAAATTTGGGTTGGGCTTGGACGGATTCGGGTTAACCTAATCCAAGTTACACCCCTAGCATCGTTCTTACAGTCATATGAGTCAAATTTGAGGCTTTCTTCAAGTAAGTGAAAACAACTATTTGCGAACCAAACAAGGACTTGTATCTGGTGCATTTGGTCAATATAGGTTTGCTTGAAAAATGAAAATGGTATGGGTTGAAGTGTTGCTTAACAATTTTATACCAAGAATGTAAAGCATAAACATATAATATATAATGGACGATGCATGGAATTTGATGCGGTTAAGGAAAACTATATTATAATTAGCTAAGAAAGTCATTCACACTGATCGATTAAGTTTTGTCTGATAGGAACATGCATGGTTGTGTTAATTAGAAGGTTGATGTTTGCAAAGGAAGAGAGGTTAGAATGTTAGAAATAGGTTAGTTTACAAGATCGGAAATGGATGTCGTTTATATTATCGATTATAATATGGTATGAAGGATATAAAGAGAGAGTGAGTATGAAATTTAATGAATTTGACATAAAAGGATTTGTCAAATATATAGAGATGGAAATAACTTTTCTGAAGGAGTTGTATTCTTCAGGGGTAGTTATAACTTTTCACGTTGAAATACAATTATTTATATCCTTTTAGAATTAATTAATTATATTATTTCTATTTCTAATTAATTAACTTATTTCACTACAATCATATGTATATTAGTATACCAATGTTATGATGTACTTTCACATATGATTACACATATTGTGAAAACCGTGTTATCATAATCATATTCCAACGTAGAAAACTTGGTTTGGAAGAGTTTGATCCAAATTTCAACTTAGGTTGCACGCATGGGTTCCCAATCCAAGGTCAAGCAACAGACAACAAGGGTTGCAAATGAGGATCTATATATCTGGGCAATTTCACCAAATTTGAGTCTCCTCACATGCATATATATATACATATATATATATATATACATACATACATACATATACGGACAATTAGTTTAGGGAAGTGTTATTTGCACTCCAAAAATCTCATTCTACACGCCTCACAAGTGTATTTTTCCTTTCTAATATAGAAAGTTTGGAGTGTAAAATGAGATTTTTGGAGTGCTAATAATAATTCTCTTAGTTTAAATTGTACACATTGATGATTTAAATTAACATCTCATTGTTAGCTTAATACTAGTGGCTCTTTTTGAATAGTGTAGTGGTTGGTTGACATGAAAACTTTTTTTAGTACGAAAGTCATACTGTCACATGTCGTTACTAATTCATGCGTCATAATATTGATGAATGACATAAGCGTACATAGATTGGTAATACCACGTAAAATAGAAAGCGTAACAAAGCTAAGTGATCTCAATTCGTTGGAAGAAATGCAGCTTCTCAAATCGGGTGTCTGGAAAGTACCAAAAAGATTGTTCTTTTTGGCCAGTGAGGCTACCAAAACAATTTGGATGTTAGGAAGTTTGGATTCCCATGTTCGTGAAATCAAGGGGATTGACCCATGCCTTCTCATTTCTTAAGCAATTAAGCGATGCAGTGAGAAAACTAATTAAGGCGGATTCATTGTTTCAGTATGTACGGATTTCAAACTAACCAAACAGAAAAGCTTTCTGTATTAAACAATATGCTGTTCATACTTTTATATCCTTTAAGTTCAACACTCAAAACATAATAAAAGGAATTCAATAAAATTTAACAAAAAACTTAGAAGTTCAATACATTTTTATATTAACATATTATCTGTTAATATTGTCGATCAGCCATCATATTGACAATCCTCCCCGTCCAAAAGAAGAATTGTTAAGTATAATATTTACCATACTTCATTAATTTAGGAAGAGGAAAAAAACCGTGAACAATCAACAGGAGCAGATAAACTCTCTGCATATATAAGATTCCAATCTTGAGCACATACAAGACATGATTTTTGACACATCCCAACCCAAAATGTCTCTAGTAACTTGATTGGTAGTTCAGATAAACCTTCCGGTTGAAGTGTGTCAATTTCTTCATCTGTTTGCTTTTGTTTTGTTCTTATTGTGTTCCATCTTGCATGCATTTAACTTTAAAGGTCAGACGACATGCATCACTGGTCAAACCCTAACCCTAGTAGTTGAACTGCCCTGTGTGGAGCAGTTTGGTGAACAGTACTCTGAATTTACCCTAAATAGACAGCTGTCCAAGAACAATTTTAGCCCAAACAATCACTGTTTGCCTAACCTTGTCAACACTGCAGCACTATATTCTTGTAATTTCTGGATTTACTGGTAATTCAGTAAAAATATATCGTTTTTCTATTATTTCCAATTTACCATGCATCGTCTCAGTGTCATTAAAGATTAGTCCGGGGTTTTATTTTGCATGGTGGTTTTTTCTTGTGCTAATCCATAACTGGTTCTGGGATTATCTTAAGACTAAATAATTTCTATAAACAATAACAATCAAGCTTTATCCCATTAAGTAAGGTCGGTCATATGAATTCTAGAACGTTATTGTGTTCGTTCTTCCATTAGCCCAAGGACTCATTATATTTTGTTAAAATCTCTTTCTAAGTCTTCCCAGGTCTTCCTTTACCCCTTCTACCCTAAGCCTCCACCTCATAGTTTCATCTTCTAACCAGAGTATCTGTAAGTGTTTGGTTTACATGTCCAAACTACCTTAACAAATTTTCTCTTGCCCAAATAAATTTCTATATATTTTCAAAATGCTCAGAGAAATTTCAATATATTTTTGCATAGATATCTCTTGGATTCACTATAATTTTGAGCTTTTGTGTTTGGGAAGTTAGTCCCTAATTAAATTACATGGTTAGCAAAAAATAAAAAGAATTTAAGAAATGATTATTTAAAAGATGGTATAAGCCAAAAATAAAGATTACTCAAATAAATAAATTATAATATTATGACAAGGAACGTCTGTTTGTCATTTTGTCTAAGGTGGTTTGAAGATAAAAATGGAATTGGTTTCTATAGCCAAGCTATGAGAAAATGTGAAAGCAACTTGGAATTTAAAATTCCAGAAAAAAAAAGAAAATTGCTTAATTTTTCTACACTCTTTGAGATCCTTAATTTGGATTTAAATAACCCTCTCCTCCTTATGCAGTCCAAGAAGCACACACCAGCTTAAATAAAAAGCACTTAATTCAATAATAATCTTATTCACTTGACTACTCAAGTTTTTCTTGGTAGCTGTTGTTATAAGAGTTGAAACCCTCAGCAGCTTCTGCTTACCAAAACAGTGATTTTCGTGCAAACCTACTTCTCTCCATTTTAGTCACCCTAAAGGGGCGGCTGAGGCTCCGCATTCAGACTTCTCCTCGGGTGGCACATGATATATAGCTTTGGATGAAGTTAGCTTTTAACTCACAAATGCTTCTCTTTGAGCTCACGTTCAAGAACTAGTTAAAAGTGCTTATCCAAAAAGCTTAAGCTGTTCCACTATTTGATTAGAGATATATTATTTCTTACGATTTAGAGAAGGAAGAGAAGTATGGAGCAGAAGAACGAGATGGAAAAGGTTGATGATGTGATGTTGCCGGGTTTTCGGTTTCACCCGACCGATGAGGAGCTTGTAGGGTTTTACCTGAAGAGAAAATTCCAGCAGAGAGTTCTTCCCATTGAGCTGATTAAGCAAGTTGACATTTATAAATATGATCCCTGGGATCTTCCAAGTAAGTTAACTTGTCTCTGATTCATTCTTATAAATTGCTTTTTTAGTTTAGATTTTTAAACTGTTTGCCCTTTCCATGTTTTGGATCTGTCTCAGGTTTATGATGTGTATGGCCAATTTAGAAAAGTTAAAAGTGTTTAAATTTCTGCAGAAAAAAACTCTTCTACCTGCGTTTGACTAGACAGAAAAACTCAAAATTTATGAAGCGTTCTCTGTCAATCTAGTAGGTGCTTCTTGAGGAAGCACTTGGATTTTTAAATAAATTTCAACAAATTTCATATATTCTTCTTGATTTTTGCTTGACTTTTCAAATGAGCGTATAGCAACTGTCACTGAACTTGTAAGTTGTATTTCATCTGTGCAAGCAGAGCTGGCAAGTACTGGGGAGAAAGAGTGGTACTTCTACTGCCCGAGGGACCGAAAATACAAGAACAGCACTAGGCCTAATCGCGTCACGGGAGCCGGGTTTTGGAAAGCAACCGGAACAGATCGGCCTATCTATTCTTCGGAAGGCTCCAAGTGCATAGGTTTAAAGAAGTCCCTTGTGTTCTACAGAGGCAGAGCTGCAAAAGGGATCAAAACTGACTGGATGATGCACGAGTTTCGGTTGCCTTCTCTCTCAAATTCAGTTCCACCAAAAAAGCTCTTAGATAAAAGCCTCCCTGCAAATGTAAGTACTAGTTAAAAATTTGGAAACCGAAGTAAAATAATCGGGCTACGAAAATATTGTTCATTTTTTATTAAAGAACTGACTGTCGACATGTCATTATTAATGGTTGTATTTGTCTAGTCAATAAAACGTGCCAACATGTTATTGCTCTGCTGATTAAAATACTTCATGGTGTGCAGGATTCATGGGCAATTTGCAGGATTTTCAAGAAAACAAACTCCATGGCACAGAGAGCACTTTCTCACTCTTGGGACTCTCAGTTTCCAGAGCCTACGGCAGCTGGTTTATTCACCCAACAGTTCAGCTCAGAGGACATGTCTTGCACAACTGACATGGGATCAACCATGCAGTTTTGGAATAACAATGACTTGCAACAAGCATCTAACACAAACTACTCTTCCTTTGACACTCTTCCTTACAAACCAATCAACCCTACCGTGTCGAAACCCTCCATGTTCGACGGAGAGTTTCCCAACAGCTTCATGTTCTCGCCGGCTGAACTGTCCGGAACTATGAACCCTGCGTTAATCGATGATTTAAGCAACCCCGCAGGGAGCATAGACTTCGATGGTTCACAGCAGCAGTTCACCGGCTTTTCGATCAGTTTGCAGCAACAGGATCAGATGCAAGGAAATACGGGGACATCAGAAAACGAAGGGGGATTCAGGAAGAACATGAGTAGTAGTAGTAATAGTACAAGCCAGTGGGGAAGCAGCAGCATCAGATCAATTGGTTTTCCCTTCAGTTTGGCTTCAGATGATGAGTCTTGGAAGCCAACTCTGCCTTCTTATTCACCACCTTATCCTAGTAGCTATTCTACAAACAAATGCTACACTTGATGCAAATCATTTTGCGAAAGAGAATATATTTGGTAGGGCTGCCTGATTAGGGCAATTTTCACATTGGGCAGACCAAAATACAAAAAGATCTCATACTTTTATGAGGAGCGTCTATAAATGATGTAGTCGGACATCCTACCCAAAATTTTATCCTCTAGTGGTTGACCCCTTGTAATCATGTAGTTAGTATCAAAAATTCAAAATCATACTTCTAAACTCCTAGTCCTTTTAGTGTGTCATTGTACAGTTTCTTGCATTCCAATCATACAAGTTTAGGCAATATGTTGTTTGTTTTGTGTAGCACTTTGCGCAGTTGAGGTTGATGAAAGCTACAACTTAGCACCAACCAAATGGCCATTTTAGATCCTCTAAAAATGTTAAAGCTTTTGAAGGTCCCAAATGCCTGCGTCCAATTATTGATAACTATAGATTGTGCCTTACAAATTGAGATGAATTTACGAGAATATGACCTAAATAACAGATGTGAGTGTAGTCAGACTGGCTAGAACAAATATGTTATTTCTATGCACTCAAGTTTGAATCCTCATCCTCACAATTTAGATTAGAAATTATAATCTTGTTTTTTTTAAAAAGAAAAAGAGGATAACTCAAATAAAATAATTTGACACGAAAAGATTAATGAATTCAAATTCGAATTCTCCTTCTTGTAATCCGCATGTTTGTAAAGTTCTAGAATTTGAGAGAAAGCCAGAAATTAAAAAAAAAACTAATGAAAATAGCTTGAAAACTGTAAATTTTAACGAAAATGACAAAATAAAAAATAAAGTGAATAGTATTAGGATTGACTTTTTAATGTTAAAATATAATTTTTCGTTAAAGTAAACAGTACTATAAGATTTTCGTTAAAGTTTCTAATAATAAAAAAGGATGCAGGCTTACTATTATTAGTCCCAGATGAAACCCAAGCCCACAATCTTAAACCGACCTAAGTAAAAGAAAGAGTGAAAAATCAGCCTCAAAAAGTCAAAACCCAAAAGCAGCTTCTGGGTTTTAGGTTTTTGCTGGGGAAAACCCCCACCGTCCACTTTCTCTCAATTTTCTCTGGCTCTCAAATTCTCTCAGGTTTGCTCGCTATAATCCAATCGTTTCAAACTCACTTGTTATTTCTTTGAATTTTTCCCAAATTTCTGAGCTTTTTTTAAATTTGTTTATCATTTCTTTGAGCTTTTTAAATTTTATGCGAGTGTTTAACAATGGCTAGAGGCCCGGCAAGTTCTCTGTTTCGAATTTATGCTTCCAAGAAGAACATATCTAGGTTTAGGGTTTTGATATGGAATCAATATGTTAGTTCTTCTGCGCCATATGACCGCTCTGTATCCTCAAATTTCCAATTTTGTCCCGCTTTCGATGTTCCGAATCACCGTTCGTTTTCGACGGGATTCAGGGACCTAATTCGGGTTAGATTGCCCCCCAAAGGCCCAAATTTCACAGGCTGCGGTACCTTTGATGCGAAACCATTTTCGACTACTGTGAAAGATGGGGAGGATGAGGAGGATAATGGGGTTTGTAGTAGTAGAATGGTGGATTCTGAATGTGATTTTGATGCAGATGCGGGGAAAATTTTGGACTTTGTAAATGAGGGTAGTGCTCGCAATTTGTCGAATTGGGGAGATGGAGATGAGGGTAATGAGGGTGTGGTTTATGATTCGATGGTTGTTGAGTCGGAAAGTGGTGATGAGAATGTGAGTTCAGCGAAACCTATGAACTTTCAGCAGGTTGCGTCATGTGAGCCTGTTGAATTGTATCGTGAGCTTCGCAATGCTGACAAGGGTGCAAAGCAGAGACGGGCTGATTGGGAGACTCTTCAAGAGATATTCCGGAATTTTGGCAATTCGGGTTGGGCATGCGATCAGGCTCTTGCAATATACATTGGACGTTCATTTTTCCCTACTGCCGTGCACAAGTTTCGGAATTTTTTCTTCAAGAAGTGTTCGGCTGATGTTGCCAAATATGTGGTATCCCTTGGTCCATCTAATGATGCTGTGAAATTTTTGTTTCCTATATTTGTTGAATATTGTTTAGAAGAATTTCCAGATGAGATCAAGCGGTTTCGTAGTATGATTGAATCAGCAGATCTCACTAAGCCTCATACATGGTTTCCATTTGCACGGGCTATGAAGCGTAAGATAATTTATCACTGTGGTCCAACCAATAGTGGTAAAACATACAATGCTTTGCAACGGTTTATGGAAGCAAAGAAGGGCATTTACTGCAGTCCTCTGAGATTATTGGCTATGGAAGTCTTTGATAAAGTCAACGGGCATGGAGTTTATTGTAGCCTTCACACAGGACAAGAAAAGAAATTTGTCCCATTCTCAAACCATGTTGCTTGCACTGTCGAAATGGTGTCAACTGATGAAATGTATGATGTTGCCGTGATTGATGAAATTCAGATGATGGCAGACCCATATAGAGGTTTTGCATGGACAAGAGCGTTGCTTGGGCTGAAGGCTGACGAGATACATTTGTGTGGAGATCCAAGTGTTCTGAATATTGTTCGACAAATCTGTTCAGAAACTGGCGATGAGTTGCACGAGCAGCATTATGAGAGGTTTAAGCCATTGGTGGTTGAAGCCAAAACGCTCTTGGGAGATCTTAAAAATGTTCGGTCTGGAGACTGTGTGGTTGCTTTTTCTAGGAGAGAGGTATTTGAGGTTAAAATTGCAATTGAAAAACACACTAATCATCGTTGTTGTGTTATTTATGGTGCCTTGCCACCAGAGACTCGTCGACAGCAAGCGAATTTGTTTAATGATCAAAATAATGAATACGATGTGCTTGTTGCTACTGATGCAGTGGGAATGGGTCTGAATCTCAATATCAGGAGGGTTGTGTTCTTTACCCTTGCAAAGTACAATGGTGACAAAACTGTTGCGGTTCCAGCGTCTCAGGTGAAGCAGATTGCTGGAAGAGCTGGTCGGAGAGGAAGCATCTATCCAGACGGACTCACAACCACATTGAATTTAGATGATCTGGATTACTTAATTGAAAGTCTAAAGCAACCTTTTGACGAAGTTAAGAAAGTGGGCCTTTTCCCTTTCTTCGAGCAGGTTGAGCTATTTGCAGGGAAAATTCCTGATGTTACGTTCTGCCAGCTACTTGAAAATTTTAGTGAAAATTGTCGTCTGGATGGTTCATACTTCCTGTGTCGACATGATCATATAAAGAAGGTTGCAAATATGTTACAGAAGGTTCCGGAACTATCTCTGGAGGATCGTTTTAACTTCTGTTTTGCCCCAGTTAATATCAAAGACCCAAGAGCTATGTATCATCTTCTAAGGTTTGCTTCATCATATGGTCAGAAACTCCCTGTCAGCATTGCTATGGGCGTACCAACGGGATCTGCCCGTAACAATAAGGAGCTCTTGGATCTGGAGACCAAGCACCAAGTTTGTTCTATGTATATGTGGTTGTCACACCACTTCAAGAAGGAAACGTTTCCATACTGGAAGAAGGCTGAGGCAATGGCCTCGGATATTGCTGAGTTGCTGGGCAAGTCTCTAGCCAATGCCAATTGGAAACCAGAATCGAGGCAGGCAGAGAACCAAAAGTTTCTTGAACAGAAGCAAAATAGTTATGAGAGGCCAAGGTCACTCATCAAGCTGTATGAGAAGTAAGTTTCGATATGTTTCGATTATTTTTTTAACTGTTCTCCAAATATTATTGATTCAGAGGCATCTGTGAAATGTATACATTGGGATCTTTCGATATCTTTCTTAATTTGTTTGCCTTACCATTTCACAGTGCTAACGATTTCTTCTGATTTGTAGGAAAAAGCATGACCGGTCTGTACAACATGAGCTTGGAGAGAAAGTAACCGCTTAGTGTTCTTGCAGGTAATTTTTCCACTAACCACATTCTATATCTGCCACAATTGCCTGAAGTACTGAGTAGAAGTAGAGTTGTTCCGTAACTACGTACTACATTGATTGGTTGAGTTCTTTGCATTTCTTTTCTTTGCAAGTCATAGTTTGACAATAAATTTCAAATAATTGAACTGAACTTGTCGCATGAACAATGTGTCGGTTCTTATATCATATGTTAATATAAACCTTTCCATATTCTTTCGAATATGATTGAGTTGACAACAGAATGATATTTTGCAGGCAAGGATTGGAGATTTGATGAACAAATGCCGTGTGGCACTCGGTTAGTGCAAACCAGTAGTTAGAGATAGACAACCACGAGGGCAGATGTGAGATGTTAGTCTAGAACTGTGTAGTTTACCGTCATCTGGGAGCGTCATGTGGACAGACTTTGCAACATTTACCGTGTTACAAAGACACAGCAGGTTTGCTACTCTTATGAGCTAACCCTATTTTCGAGTATGGTGGTGGTTCGCTTTTAGAATAGGAAACATGTTCAAATATCTCAACTGAGTACGAGTAAGATGCAACTATATTGTTCAAAATTAAAGGACAAGAAAGAGAGTTGTTTAATCATTTTCGGGATAACTAATTATGGCTAACTGTTTATGTAAATTCTTTTCGTTGTAAGATTACCGACAGTGATTTGGATTAACCGGAAGCTCTCTTACCGGTTGGTTGACCAAACAATCCAGGGAAGTAACTATGTGAATCACTTTGTTTTACCATAATTGGCATGTCCGAAAAGTAATTTCGAGCATAAAACACGAGATGAACAAAACTAGTTATATCAGTAGAACGCTTCTGCTGTCATTTTCTTTCCTTCTTCTAGGTGATATATGGCTACTGCTCAAGGGCAAACTCTGCGGTTTTGATCGGAGTCCAAAAGTATTTTCTAGTGTGACGGGAAGGAGATGAGACGCCCAACCCGCCTTTTCTTTTTTACTTTTTCCGTGTGCTTATCTACAGTTTACCTGCACCCTCTAACAATGTATATAAAATCGTAATTTTTAGTTCACCGGCTACTGATCTCACCTTGTAGAAATCGAATTGACGAAGGTAGAATCCCGATTATTTGTTCCTTTTTCTTGCAAGGGTCTCTAAAACCAAACGCCATTGTGGATTGCTCCAAGGCCTCATCCTCCAAGCCATCATCTTCAATAAAAAGAAATATACGAAGCATTCTTACCAATAATAACCTTTGTAAATATTCAGCTTAGATAATGCATATGTTCTTAAGGGCTACTTAGATACTGAGATACTGCTTTTCACTCAAGAGTTGTTGCCCTTTTTCTAGTCGGTAAGAAGTAGTGTAGATATGCAGCT